ATACCCCTGGAACTGGAATGACAGAGAGTTGTGGGTGCTGAATCCTTTTCCAAGGGTAGCAAGTGCTCTTTTTTTTTTTTTTTTTTTTTTTTAAGATTTATTTACTATGTATACAGATCTCATTCTAGATGGCTGTGAGCCACCATGTGGTTGCTAGGAATTGAACTCAGGACCTTTGGAAGAGCAGCCAGTGCTCTTAACCTCTGAGCCATCTCTCCAGCCCGCAGCAAGTGCTCAGACCCATCTCTTCAATCCTAAACTTATGTTTTGAGGCAGAGTCTCAATTCTAGTCCAGGCTAACCTGGAACTCATTCTGTAACCGAGGCTGGCCTTAAACGCTATGATCCTATTTCTTCTGGGATTACAGGTGTGAAACACACTAGGCTATAATTGTCAAGGCAACCTCAAATTGAGTTGTCCTTTCTCCTTTCTTTTCCTTCTTTGGACTGCATTAGAGATTGAACCTAGGGTCTCACACATGCTAGGCAAGCGCCCCATCCCTACAGCCTCCCACAGTCATTATAAAGGGATGTGTAAACTCTAGGTACGGTCATCTGTTTTAATGCCTAGTAACCCAGCTACCACATTTTCCAACGGGGTGCTACAATTTGAGAGTCAGTGTGGCTAAGTGAGTTTACAACTGAGTCACTGCCCACAAATGCTCAGAGAACACCTTCTCCTACACTCTGTTGTGACTGTTGCAATGAGCAGATGCATAGGTTCTAATATAGCAATGCTGCTCAGTCAGAGCAAAGTGTGTAATGAAAGGTCAACACTCAGGGGTTACAGAGTGTGAACCCGGAAGACACAAGCTCCTGAGGCTTTTTAATTACAGTGTTGGGGTGTTTAAAGATTTCCAGAGCTTTCTGAAACTGACTTGAAGACTAAAGGAATGGAGACAGGTCAAACTGGCTGCTTGTGTTTCTGACTTTATTATTCAAATACGTAAACCTCTACATGAAAACACAAATGTGAACTTATTGCTTGAATACTCAAGTGAAATAGGGAAAAGTATTTGGCGTAAAACTAGTTGACTAGAATTACTCAACCTGTAAAATGTTTTCAACTGTATGCCCTTAAGTACTTTACATTTTACTATCTAGTATGATCTTCAAATGGCCATTTTGGAAGTGGGTAATGAGACAAAAGGAAACAGACTTGATTAAAAAAAAAAAAAAAAAAAGCACTGGGAAGGAGGGCAGAGGTGTAGCTCATCATCAGGAAGCTGTTTTCAGTTCTCTGCTAAATTACAGAAAAATGCACATATGAAAGCTATGTAAATACATAAATTTGAAATATGAATGAAAGGGGAGAGGAGTGTGGGAACAAATAAGAGCAAAGTATAATGCTGTGTATGAACATGTTATAATGAAACCCATTATTTTGTATGCTAACTACAAATACTTTTGAAGAATGAAAAAAAAAAAAGCTGTAAGAATGAAAAGCAGCCCTGACAGGTGGTAGCGGTGCAGGCCTTTAATCCCAGCAGTTGGGAGGCAGAGGCAGGTGGTTCACTCTAAGTTCAAAGGCCAGCCTGGTCTACAGATCTAGTTCCAGGCCAGCCATGGCTACACAGAGAAACCCTGTTTCAAAAAACAAAACACACACACACAAAAAAAAGGAAAAAAGAAAAGCAGCTCAACAGATAGGTGAGGCAGTACTACCTTACTCCCCAGTAACTCCCAAGGAAAGGAATACTTTACGAAGGCCAGAGTAAAAACCGGAACCTGGAAGACAGCCTGGAACACATGGGACCCTGTCTCAAACTATAGGTAGGGCAATAAGTGAGCTTGGCAGTGCCCTCCCAGCTGCCTGAAAGGCCAGTGCGGGAAGACCTGAGCCTACGAGTTGGAAGCCAGCCTGTAATGTTTAGCAAGTTGTCCTCTCAGAAAATGAGTATATGTGGCGGTACTCTCCTATCTGCCCAGCACTCGCAGCTGGGGCAGGGCACTGCCATGAATTTCAGGCCAGTCTGGGTTATAGATAAGACCATATCTCAAACAAAGCAAGCAGTAGGAATCACCGTTGAGAAAAATAACAGCTTTCTTTTATTCCTTCTCAGATCAGAGGGCTTGAGACAGCTGCAACTGTACAAACGTGTAACAAAGGTTGTCTGTCTTCCTTCCTTTGTTGACTTAGTTATGTTTAGATGCGCCTACGTGCATGTAATTGCAGCAGAGCTGCACCTTCCCCTAGAGCTGCAGTTACAGTTGAGATTTGAATGGAGGTCCTCTGCAAGGGTAGGAAGTGCTCCTAACCCCTAGCCTTCTCTCCAGCCCTGTTGTCTTCCTTTTGCAATCAAATCTTTTGCTGATCACCAAACAAACACTTGAACCTTAGGAAGTGTGATTAAAGACATGTGCCACCACACTCAGCCAGGCTTCTTCTTACTTTTGTTTCAGTAGTTTGTTTCAGAAGCCATCCCTATGGGTCTAACCCTTCTCTACCCTTTAGCATCATTTAGAATGAGGCAGGAGAAGAGAACCTGAGTGGAGAAAGGACAGGATTTGACTCCTCACCAAATCCAATAGAGCTTATACAACAAGGTGCTAAATAATTTACACACTGTTCTATCTGCTGTTGGATGACTGGAATGAAAATGTCACCCAGTTATTTTCCTCGGTCCAATCACCACATAATGGAGTTCTACATCTTATGCTTAAAATAGTGAGGTTTCCTTGTACAGAAATAGAATTGTAAACAATCCCTCTATTTCCACCATACCCCCCCAGCTCCAAGGAAAAACAAAGTAACAACAAAACACACCTTGTCAGGTCTGACAAAAGGTCAGAGAAGGCTAAAAGAAAGGGTCTGCTTTGTTATACTGGACAGAGGAGAGCAAGAGAGTAAAGCAAAATGCACCATTTGATAGCAGCCTTGCCCTTGTAAAGTTCTTAAAATTATAACACAATTTGCACACATTATCTTTTGGTTTTCAACCATCTGTGAGATAAGCTAGAGAGAGGTCTCCGCAGTTAAGAGCCACTGACTGCTTTTGCAGAGGTCCTTGGCTCAGTTCCCACAGGGCAGCTCACAACTCAGTCCCAAGAGTTCCAGCACTCTCTTCTGGCACATACATGGTATACAGAGTTACATGTAGGTAAAACACATACACGTCTAAAATAAATAAAAATGTAAACTGTGAAGTAGGTAGAAAAATATTATTCCCAGATTCAAAGAGGTTAGTGACTTTCCCAGAAGAAAAAGCTTAGTGACTTTTTTCAATATATATATATATATATATATATATATATATATATATATATATAT